GTGTGTGTGTGTGTGTGTGTGTGTGTGTGTGTGTGTGTGTGTGTGTGAGAGAGAGAGAGAGAGAGAGAGATGTGTGTGCCCACTATTTATTGTGTTTTTTTTTAAATAAGTTTAATTAAAATTAAATATAAAAAAATTAAAAGGGTATAGAAGTCTTTTTGGGTGGGTGAGGAACCAACTATGATAGAAATTAAAAACCATAGGGACCTTCTATGATGTTTTCTGAAGTTAGGGACCATATCCTAGATTTTGGAAAACTATAGGGACCATTTATGAAGTTTTGTCTAAAATAGCAATCAAGTAATACACAACAGTTTGTTTTTTTATGCCGTTTTGTACTCAATAGATCACTAGGTTCTAATACACCTAAAAGAACAAATTTTGTCATATTGAATGTCCTTATAGACAACACAAATGTCACTATAGAACCAAATAAATGAAAAGTTCAAAAAAAAAAAATGAATTATCTATTGAATACTGTTTAGAAACAAGTGATCTAAAAAGAAATTTGCTTACCATTTATTGAAAATTTTCAATATTATCCCTCTTTGTTTCTATAATTAACCCAAAAAAGAAACATCATCTCATCAAAAAGGAAATAAGATTAATAGTTTGGCATGTAAGACAGTCATGAAGTGCAGGATTTAGTGATATGGATTGAACAGACGGAGAAATTAAAAAGTAGGTTATGATTCTATGATCCTTATTGCTGATGAGGTGTCCACTGTCCAGCAACATTTTATTTTTATGAACCAATGGTAACTTAATATGATAACCAAACACCGAATAGAATTACTAAAACAAGGTACAACATGTTACATGCTATTTCTGATCCAAATTCAAATTCAGCAACAAGGTCACAAAAAGATAAACAAATAAAAGTAAAACCCAAGTGAAGTAACGAAATGCAATAATATGTTTACTAAAAATAAGAAAACAGTGTTGAGTCTCAAGCTTTCAAAGCAGCTTTGTGAACCATGGTTTCCTTATGGATTTGGTGGCAACTCTTCTCAACAAGATCCAGAAGCTTCTCCAAATTCATTGCCCATGAATTCAAAATCCCATTGCTGTCTTTCGCTGTTTGGAAACACACAATTCCCAAAGGCCTATCCACCTTTGCCACTAGTGCCTTTGATACCACCATATCAGATAAATGCTTTTCCGCTTCCTAAAATATTCAATTTCATTTCTTTTTATTATTTTATTCTATATTAATAAATAAAAATAAATGAATAAAAATATAAAAAGAAATCTACCTCAACAGTAAGACACAACAGCTCTGCAAGCCGTTTTACTGTGATCCGTGCATAGTACTTTGAAACAACCAGGATATTCTACAGATACATAACATAACAAAATTCAAAATTAAAAAAAATAATAATAAATATAAATATAAATATAAATATAAATATAATAATTACATGTTCAATTATTCTCTCCTGAAGATCCTCAGCAGCTTTGTCACCTAAAGAGCCACCTAACATATTCTTCTCATTTTCAAACTCCTCTTTGAAAGTATTCCACAAAGCAGTCCATTGAACAACTTCCATTGTGATCACTTGTTTCAACAAAGACCTTTCAACCCACAACACAAAAACAATAATCAGAAAGGATGAGGGCATAAACGTCTTTTCCCATGTTATGTAGTAGTATAAGCACCTGAAGTGAGGGATTTCCGAGAGGTTTTTATCTTCCAAAGTCGAGTTCAAAAGACTCGATTGCATCGGATCATGTGGTGACAAAACCAAATACCAACAAATTTTCCTCAACACCTACATAAAAAAAAAAAATTAAATTAAATTTATAGAAAACAAGAAGGGCAGTTATGTCTTTTTCACAAGAGACATAGATTTACTGGTATCCATTGAGAAGGGTCTTCCTTGACAGATGGGATTTCATATATCGATTTGTAACATCGACAGATTTCAAGGTAGTCATTGCTGTGTGAGTAGAATCTGTAATTATAAAGATAAGATAAACAAAATACTTTTCAGGGACCAAATCCGTACAAATCAACAAACTAAAGGGACCAAATTTAAAAACTTGTCCATAAATATACCGAATCATATGTTCATAATAGATTCTTTTGAGTTGAAGTAAAGATGGAATATTTGCAGGGGCTTCTTCCACAAGTCCTTCAGCATCTTTTGGTTTCTTCTTTTCTTTTGAAGGATCAGCATCAAAAACTCTTGGGCTAATTTTCCTTGAAAGAATTTGAGCACGAACATAATCTTGTCTATCTAAACATAATCGAACCTGTATTTCATATAAACTTATTAAATAATATTATATTTTGTCTTCTAAATATGATTAAGAATAAGGAGAAAGAAAGAATTTCCCACTTGTTCAAGAATGAAAGCAATCTTTTCAGTTTTAGCCATTGCCCCAAAAGTTTCCACCTGTCACACACACCAAAGTAAATGATGTGAGAATAAATTAATATGAATTTATAAACTATAAAAAAGTTTATTGTAAATATATATATATATATAAATAAGAAAAACTGACAGCAATTTCTTGCATCAAATCAGCAGCTTCAGCAATTTGTCCTTGTTCTTCCTTAATCTTTGCTAGTCTTTTAATCAATCTGGCTCTCTCAATCTCTACATAAATCTATACCAAAAGAAAGTGGTTGAGTTTTATGATATTAGAAAACAAGAATTTTGAATAATCAAAATAATATTTTTAAGCAAACCTTTCCAGCTGATACACTGTTTAGTGTCTTGATGAGTTCAATTTTGGTCTCGATATCTGGGGTTTCATCAATATACTGCATTGCTTGTTGGACCATAGCAGTTACAGCCTGTAGGTAGAAGAAATGAACAATTGAGGGTTATGATTTGGGATACCATTGAATTTGATGCAATATGCCATACTTAAAACGTTATCTAGTTTCTACATACAGCCAACAAGTTCATTAAACCATAATTTTGCACTCAAAGTGAACCAAAAACTAAAAACAACTAAAATTCACTTAACAGCTTGTCAAACAAAAGCGCAAATCTATATGAATACCATATGCCTCGTCTTTTGATAAGTTTATATAGAAAAAACTCAGCTTGTAAGAACTAATAACAACATTAACACGCAATTATTCATCAACACATTGCATTTCCAACCAATTCTCTACATATAAATTTTTAATTGCAAGTGATAGTTCATCAGTAGATCATCTTCAAATCAGAAGGTACTATACCGTAGTTACTAAAAAGAAAAGATGCAGAAGTTTACCTGCTTCAATTGACCACGCCGCTTCGACAATACAACAATCTGATCATTGAGTGTCTTCCAAGCACGAGCCTCGAAACAAAGTTGAAGAATATCAATCGCGGCCTTCTTTGTACCAGCTATATCGCCATTAAGTCTCATTTGCTTCTCCACATTCAATAGAGACTCGATTTTCGAGTCCAAACTACCCCCTCCTTCCTGAAAACACACACAAACAGTTCCATCTGAATAAGAAAAATCAAATCGTAACTTAATCGGACAGATAGTGGAATTTGAGCATAAATCTTACCATGTTGGATTCAAATTACGGATCGGAGCGACGAAATCGTCGAATCTAAAGCAAATACGAACTTCTTATGTAAACCCTAGCGAGAGAGAAGAGAAGATCGGGGAAGAAGAAGACATTGTGTCAAAGAAAAGCATCTATAGCTTTTTGAGCAAGACACCGGATGTCTTCGATCCGGCCCAATTCGATCTTTTAGCCCAATAGTAAAGGCCCATTTCTGGATATTATTGGCCCCAAAATTTTAAAAAGAAGTTATATAAAGGCCTATTGTTGTTTACCCATATCCGTCTTTTCAGGTGAAACTATAACCGATACCCGAACCGAATTGAATTTCGGGTTTCGGGTTGGATTGGGTGAATTTTAAGATACTTGATTTTTTTAGAAAAATAAAATTTTCATTATAAAAAATATATATACATACAGAGGAGGGTTCAATTGAGAAAAAAAAAATATTGAGAATGGGGGAACCATTCTCAGCCAATCATTTAATGAGCTTAAAAAACGCACGGTGACAGACTTGTAAATAATCCAAATACATTAATGAGCGGTGACAAATTTGTAAATAATCCAAAAACATTAAACCGTCAGG